ACTCAGGTTAGGTCTACATTACAAAAAAATGCCAGTACAACTGTCAGGTGTGGCACAAAAAACTCCCTTAATAACAGAGCTACATCAACAGTCTTTTGGGGAGGTGGTTTAAACATCCTGACAAAAGAAGTCCTTCTGGTATAAGTGGTGTTTCCACCAGAAGACTTTGCTAATATAGCTGCACTGTAAAGCAACTGTAGCACAGATCCCAAGTCAAACATAGTGTTTTTACTCTACCCATTCTTCCTGCTAAGTTCCCAGTCCAAGACAGAAATATGACAGAAGGAACTGGTATGTACCAAAATTAAATTACCTTGGGTCTTATTATTGTCCTCCTTCAGCTTCAGTTCTACTCTTCTGTATGCTGCTCTTACTCACTGTCATGACTATATGATCTGTGAGGATTCTCATATCCTTTCGATCACCATACAAATAATGATCATCATCCTTTTGTTACAAACTAATTCATTTCTTGAATTCAGAGGGAGAGAATAGTTTAATTTTCCAGGTTATCTTTGCTTACCAACAATTGGAATGGTACTTTGAGAGCAGTTCACTTCCCAGGTAAAAACCAAAGCTAGAAGTTAAGTAGGATTTACCTGTGATGATAAAGAGCCCTTCTCAATATTGGAGGGGTCTGAAAATGCAAAACTTGAGGTCCATACTCAAGTTTGAAGTAGACAACATTTATTACACACATTTCCATTAAAAAACTAGCAGGAGTTTGCCTGAGTAAGGGCCCTATGAAAGCAGGATTAAAGCATACCCTGATACAGAGAGGATCGCTCCCTTCCCTGTGTAGAAGGAAGAAGTACCACCTTCCATGGTGCTATGCCTTTGGGCCCCACAGAGTGCACTGCTGCACAATAGAATGGATGAAAGCAAAGGTTGAAAGAAAAAGGGCCAGGGACCCCTGATGTGTGATTTAGCCAGCTCCCCCCAGTAAAGCCAGCCTACACAACAGGATCAAATCCTACTACACAAATCCTGTGGGGAGGGACAAAGAAAGAGGAGACGAATTGCTATGGGCAGGGAAAGCCTTGAAGTCTTCAAGAGGAGCATTGAGATGGCACGTGGCCTCTGCATAGGTAGCCCTGAACACAATGAGAGAGATCTCAGGGGATGCACAAAATATCTGGGTTACCCCACTGTAATTAAGAGGGTTAAAACCCACCTTCAGCCCTCTGTAAACCTAATGGAGTTTCCCAGCCCAGAAGAGGGTTTTCTATGCAGTACAAAAATCTGGTAAGAAGCTCAGGATTTGACCAGTACCATAGCAAGAGCAGCAGCAGCAGTGCACTGGCACTGGTCCCCTTTGCACATGGGTGTCAAATCAAATGGAAGTAATGTTACATAATAGCTGGGGGAGGGGGCGGCTCTGCACATGACCTGTACTGGGTACCAAAATGCCTGGCTATGGCTCTGGTTTTCACCCCAACTATTGCTAGTTCCCTCCTGTAGGTAATGGGTTTTAATTAATCATTCAAAAGCATACAAAATGATGTTTGGCATACAAGTTCCAAAGATCATTTCTTAATTATTGAAATGATATAAATCCAACAACATATATTTAATTATTTTTATTAAAGTAAATTACTGTTTTTAGCAAAAATACTTTTGAGAAAAAATATCTATTTAAAAAATTGTGTACGAGAATTTTAGTGCTCATAAAAATAGCTCATCTCTGAAGACCAAAATCTTCTGCCAACAGAAGAAGGGCAGCACATGTAAAGACAGTATGAATGTCCTTATACCAGGTCTGAAACCAGTGCCCTTTTGGGGATGAGAGAGCAGGTCAGTTTCCTCAGGCCCATCTAGTCCTTGTCCTTCTTGTTGAAACAGTTGCTAGTCTTCTGGGAGTTAGACTGAGACCACAAAATAAATTTGACATAAGCTAGCTATCAAATGCCAATAGCTTTTGGTCACTCCTGGGCTGGGCAGGCTAGATTTGAAGTAGCAAAGGTGAAAGGTTCTGTTCCATTAATGATCCCCTGAGCATTCCAGTTCCCAGCTATTACTATCTCCCAGTTTTGCCTGGGTGACAACTGTAGAGTTTGGCCCTAGAACATTATTTTACAGATATGCCCAGTTGTATTTGTGGCTAGCTAGAAGAAGAAAATATGCCAACACTCTGTATTAGAAAGGTTTAAAACAAAATGTACAAGTCTTTTTAAATAAACTATACAATGGTTAGACTTTATATACAACATTTTTAGAATCAAAGACTCCATATGGAAAATCTGTCAGCAGGATTTTCAGTCCAAACAAAAAGTCTTCTATTGTTAAATAAATGGGGACAAATAAACCAACAACTACAATTAAAAAAATAAAGATGATGGACATGATCCCAGCTTCTCCATTTCAGGCTCATTCCAGTACTTTTTGACCAAACAGCCTATGGTAACAAGAGTTCTGTTGCAGTTTGGTGCAGAAAGGAAATTTAGCTGCACTTTTCAGTTTTGAAGGTATCATCCATGGAAAGGGAAAAAAAGTAGGTCAGATTGAAAGTATAAGTGGCTCATCAAAAACACCAGCATTGTGGTTCTCTCTCAGAGGCCATCTCACCTTCCATTTTCTGAGCTGGTATACCTCTGTGTAAGGAAAGAAGTGATGTGGCCAAAAGGCAACTGAAAGAACTTAAAAGATCTTGCACTCATTAATAGAAAAGAGCTTCCTCCTATTCTGTTTCTTGGCTTGATTCACTGCAGTCCGGACTGCATGCTCAAATACCTGCTGCACTCCTCTGTTGCTGAGGGCAGAGCATTCCAAGTAGCCTTTGGCTTTGACCTCCCGGGCCAGCCGCTTCCCATCTAGTGGGCTGATGCAGGATGAACGATAGGGTCCTGTTTCTCGCTGGTCAGTCTGAGTGGCCACCACTAAAACAGGGATTCGGGGCAAATGGTTCCTGATCTCAGACATCCACTTACTCCTCAGGTTTAAAAAGGAATTGTGGTTCGCCACTGAATAGCACATTAGTACTACATCAGCCTGTTGATAGGAGAGGGGACGGATACCTTTGAAGGCTTCACTGCCTGATGTATCCCAAAGGCCAAGACTAATTTGCACACCATCCATGAAGACATCCACCCCTGTGTTTTCATACACGGTGGGCCGGTAAGCATCTGGAAAAGTCTCAGAGGTGAAACGTACCAAGAGTGATGTTTTCCCCACTGCAGAGTCTCCAACCAGGACACACTTGATTGAATCCAACATTTTCTCAGAGTCCGCCTCAAATTGTCCTGTTTCAACGCACCAAGAGTAGACCTTCAGAAATAATTTCTATTCAGCAAGAAGTCATCCAGATTTCTTAGCATTTCAAAACTTGGGTGTTTCATTGGAGTATAAAATCCCCTTCTCTCCCACACAAGTGTATGATCCTGTCAACTCTTCAATGAGTCAAATGACCTTCCTGAAAGAGGAAAATTAAAATTTAACATTTATAACCCAATGAAAACATAAACCAGTAATTCATCATCAAAATAAGCCTCTCAGGGCATCTTTTTTGGTGGTTGCAAGTTATGTTCTTGAAGCAGGGATTAAAGGCCCCATTATTCCACCTCGTAGCATAAAAAAATCACTCTAGAGTAAAAATTCAATAATATTGTTTCTTTATTATAACCATTTATATTACACACCAGTCAGCTCTCTCTAAGCAAATGGGGTAAGTTTTCAAAAGCATGCAGGTCATTAGGAGGTCAAGTCCCTCCAGGTTTCACTGAGCATTAGGCTCCAAATCCCATAGTTCACTAGTGAAAATGTAATCTAGGCTCCTCAGGCACTTCTGAAAATGTATCCAAGCTTCCAGGTGTAATACATAAAAACACTGCACACTAACTAATTTGATTATTTAAGCAGTTCTATAATTCAAGATAACACAGAACTTCTGTGATGACAACAAAGAAAAAACTGACTTTAGATATAGATCTCATATGACAGGAATCTTTTTTGGTCTTAGAAGTGATGCGGTATCTACTGTAATAAAAAATATGTTTAACATGTCTTTGTTACCTGTCTTTCAACAAAGAACTAAGACTATAAGTCAAAGGAATAGACCCTCCACCCCAACTGTTAGACTGATGAGGATACAATGATTTTGAAACTTAGTTTTAACAAGTTAATTAAAAGTAACTTCATAGTGCTCCTCTGGGCCCTACAAAGACTTAATCACATTTTCCAATAGTTGGAAATATTTTTCTCTTCTCCAATAGCTATGTGCAGTATTCATATACGCATGAGAGAGACGTGATGACCGATTGTGCAAGAGAAATGAAAACTAAAAAAATCCCACAATTGAATTTCTAAATTGAATGTCCCTCTAATGAGCATTACTGCATTAAATCATTACTATGTTTCCTTCATATGTTAAGAGTGGAGACAATTCTGGAGTTTATTTGTACAAAAAGGAATGATCACCTCACAGTGACATGTAGACAAATGAACTGCAGTAACCTACTTCAGTTTACAGCCCTAATATTTGGCTTTTCTAGCTATATATTTATAGTACATTAAATGCTTAAGCTGATTTCCCAGAGGATAAAAAACAAAACATGAGGTAGACTTACATTGTTTTCAGTTGGTAGCCATGGTACAATTTATTCTGCTTCTATTTTATATTCAAGCATTGTCCTACCTCCTCTGGCATCTCCAACTGCATGGACAATCAAAACAGAGAATCTCACAAGCAACTGCCTTGTAGTCAAGTGAACGTTTATTTTATAAACTGCTTCAAGTCCTGCCTGGCAGTTCGCATGCTAACTTCTGGTTATGGGTATTTAAAACAGTTATTGCAACAGAGGGTATTTCCTGGTTTGCAAGCTCAATACGTGGTTCTTCACTGTTAAATTTGATTCTGAGAATACTGATAAGGTCCAATCACATCTATGTACCAGGAAATGAACAGTCCCATGAAGGGACAGTTGATGCTGGAAAGGGTTTAGTGTATAAGTTATTTTAAAACTGCCAATTTAAAATCTATAACCATTTTTTCTCCTGAGAATCAAGCATCTTCTGCAACACATCTCACTTAAAAATAAGTTTACAATAAATCAAGCAAAACTGTAAATAGACATATAGAAGACTTGACAAATATACAAAGAATACACAGTCTGATTATTTGTACATGATAGTATATTTATTGTATTACTGCTATAGTTTAGAAGTGTTATTGTTACTGTTTTAACACTTAATATTCCAGTGGTTTATACCTCAGACATTACCATTCTCTCCCAGATGAAATTTGACATACAAAGTCTCTTCTTTAAAGCACACATTTCTTTAAATTATTTTCAGTCATTCTGGTTCTTTTGTAACATATTAGAATGAAAATAATAGAAATTACTAATTCAAATTACTTCTTTCTCATTTTAAAATGTCTAAAATGCAAAGGCAGATAGATGTATAGTTGTAGCAAACAATGTGCCCATAAAATGATTTTATTGCTTGGATATTTTAAAATTTAAATTTAAACGTGATTAAGAGTGAAAAAGATATTAATGGACCGATTTTATTACACATAAGTCTTGACATGTACTGACATGTACTGAAAAGTGAAGACATGTCCCATCACAAGAACGTCTGCCTATTTTCAAACTAAAGTATATCAAACTACAGTTCACAGATTTAGGAAATTGAAAAACAGACGATAGGGGATGTTCCCTGATCTAGATCTGCTATAAGTCTGCTATCAGCTGCAGTGCCCAGTTTATCATATATGTTCTACACAAGCACATATTTTCTTTGAGATTGTATTTACACCAAAGACTGACATTTTAGAGGTAAAACTCCCTTATCAACTTTAACACACCCTGTATAATAAGTGAAGTCTTCTCTGACATGATTGTACAGCACATGCAGTAACACGAAAGACGTGCTACCCATGATAATTTATAAAGAAAGACACAATATAAGCAGAAAACAAGTTTTTACAGTCTTATTATAGGAGGAGGACTAAAATTCAACTTGTACGCGTTACAGAAAACACTGCAGAAGCTCATTTAAAGATGAAAAAAATATTTAGCTAAAACAGAAATGGACAATATGTGCATGATGTCCTATAAAAATCCTGGTGGAGGGCAGTAATAAATATGAGCTTAAAAACATAGTAGCAATACAGCACTTTGTATAAGCACCCACAGGGCTAGAAAAAAACAAAGTTATAGTTCCTTTCCACTGCAATATGTGGCAGAATTTGACACATTGCATATCACATTGCCCAATTGTGTGTGATCACCTAAAAAGACTGCTTTAGAAACTGCTAGTCACGGAGATGTGAATTTAGGTTGCAAAGGGAATCTTAACTAAATTTCTTAATACCTGTACAATCAAATGTAATGCTGACTTAAGAGATGTATGCATATAATGTTATAGAAAAAGACAAAAAGCAAGTAAACATTTAAAATATTGTGAGAGATTTTCAAAGGCACAACTAGTAGGGAGTTGCCGCACTTGTATTTCAGCCCAAATTAACTTTATGATTTTGAAAGTCTCCCCCAAAAAGGGTGAAAAAAGGGGAAAAAACTATGAATGAAAGAAATGTTAAAAACAAGAATGCAGAGAATGGATTGCAGCAGGATATAATGGAAATCTACAGTCAAATCCTGGTCCCATTAAAGTCAGTGATAAAATCCCCATTGATTTAAACAGAACTAGTTTTCAATTCCATCACAGCTGTAGTACTGATTCCACAACTGAATCATATAATCTACAGAGTGAAGGACCAACTATGTCCAGCACCTGCATGTGTGCATAAGGGAAAAAAAGGGCACAAGTAGCCTCCTCACTCTTTGCATTTCCTGTGCACAGATTAATCACGTGAGAATCATGAAGCTCGGGGATTACCAGGATTGTACAACCAGTACACTTGGCAGTAGTAGCTTCTCCAAAGGAGGGCAGACTGCTGCCTCACTCCTTCCTACTGAGCAGTGGTGCTAGCCAGTCCACAAGAGGAGTTGATACCACTCGCTACCTAGAGCAGTGCCCCTCAAGCATCAGAAGGCTGCTTGCTTTAGGCACAATACCTTTCAAGAGCTCTCATCAGACCCCTGTGCTCCCAAAATGCTCAATATGAGACTGAGGCCACTGCCACAGCACAGCTCTTACTATTTCTGTGCAGCAACAGCACAGAGCCCGACCTGCAAACATGCATTTAAGTACCTTTGTTCACAGAACCAATCCAATTGTTGGTCCACTCAATGCAATAAAGGCACAATACTTGTTTGTGTAAGCATTTGCAGGACTGGGCTCACTAATTATACTATTTACTCAACAGTTTAATCTGTTACATTATAAAGAAGCATAAAGTGTTAGTGACACACTGACTTCTGGGGAACTATTTTAAAACTGCAAAACCCAACATGGCTTTCCTGCCATACAGAAAAGTAACCAGGGTCCTAGTCCTCAGCAAGAAAACCTGGGAACAACAGCACAGCAACACAAAGCTCATTACCAGGCCTGGATTAATGCATAGGCAAACTAGTTACATACCTAGGGTCCTGAGCTGTGGGGGGCCTGAGTGCTTCTCTCCGCAGCAGTGGTACAAATGGCCCTGTCCACCTCCCTTCCCTTCCCCTCCAGGGGCTTCACCGCTGCAGCAGCTGCTTCCTAGCCACAACTTTGAGACCCACTGCCTGCGGGCAGTGGCACCAAGGTGGGGAGGGGCGTTTCAACCAGCCCAGGGCCCAGGAGTTTGTTTGCCTAGGGCCCACTAAAGGGGTAATCCAGCCCTGCTCATTACAGAATAAGGGCCCAATTAAATATTTAGCCAAAAGAATGAGTATTGTTTGTGGTCGACAATTCCAGCAGTTAATTGACTCAGGAACATGAAGATCAGGAATTATGTCGGTTTGAACTGCAGAACTAAATGAGACTATATTTTTCAATTTTAGCACTAAGAATAAAGGCTTCTTTAAGGCCTAGGGTATGGTCTGTTGTGGTCAGATATCCAGAGGAAAGAGACAGGATCCCATTATCTGAACCAGCTACATTCTAATCCTACATTTGATATAGATTCAGGCTTTTTCTAGAGTAAGAATTAAAAGGAATTAGGTAATATGTGATAGAAGAGTGTAAGCAAGGCACTCCACCTTTTACATATGTAAAACTTTATTGAATATTAAAGTAAGGTACATTCTAGTTTCATCATTGGCCTACCCCTACTGCAACTGCATCTGATTGTAATTCCTGTAACTATCAGTATTCAAGTTATGAGAAGCAAGGTCTTTTATTCAGTCAGTTATATAAGATCCATAGTATCCAAGTCAGTTATATCATGAGATTTAATGTTGCATGGACGTGATATTGAAAAGTGGAACCACACTCCCATCAGAGGTTCCAAATCTTTAAAAGATTTAAGTTTGCTGTATAATACTCAGATACATGCACTGCCTTTTACCAGGCATGGAGCTCCCCTTC